ATTTTTACAAGTACCTTGCATCTAATTACCTGCTTGTGTCTTCACTACATGTCCTTTCTTGGCTTCTGTAAGTTGTATAAAATTGTTCAATTATATTATTAATTGCTTGAAATTAGCTAATGTAATACAGTGTACTTATAAAGAAATCAACCGAAATCAATGCCTATGTGATTTCAGCCATATGAATGGATATTTATATTTCAGTTCTATTGTAGTCAGTAAGGTTCTTCAAAGGTAAAAGAAGATGCCTCATCAGCCAGAATCCCTAAATGTGGATCTCTCATCACCAAAGGCATTGTAGTTTGTAGAAAATCCTTGAAGTGTATTTCTAGGACATCTGTCTTCCAGCAAAGGCATCATGCTTGTATTCAGTTTTCTTGTGATACTGATACAAATTTCTACATACCAAAATTTGTTCATGTACTGTTGCTTATTTTATTTTCCAGTGCTCTTGGGGGTACCTTCATTTTAGAGCCAAAATTCCAAGTTCAGTTTGTAAATTCAATGTGTGCAAGCACTGTGAACAGTGCTAATCAACTTGGAGTCAGAATAAGTATAGAATTTTATACTTTATGGTCTCTGTTAATTACTGATGTAACACTTTTTGGCAGAGCGGTTATTAATCTTTTAGTTTCAGGATTTGTGAATAATGAAAAAGTGCACAAACTGTATCTGTCAAACTAGTACAAGGGCCTAATACCTAACTTCTTTTACCAAAATAAAATGTATGGGTAATTCTGTGATTTTCTGAGCAGTAATTATTAACAAATTGTGATAAATATTTAAGTCATGTTTCTTAATATTAATAATTTATCTTTTCAATTTAAAATCCTTTGGAGATTAAGTAGTAACGACAAGCGGTAAATATTTGTGTATTGTGAGGTCATTACCACATCGTTGTGTGATAATCTCTCAGAAAACATCAAGAATTATTTCTTCTGTTGAATATTCAGCCAGTGTTTCATTGTCCAATGTGGCTGCCTACATTATGGCACTAAGCTTACTTCAGCCTTAGGGCAGAATGTAACAGAAACAACAAAAGGCATGACCAATTTTGGAGCTTTTTTTGAAAATCCGTGCACTAAAATTTGCTTTAAGTTCATAGGGTTCATATTACTTTGCGTGATCTTCCTTGCTTGCTGTTTATTATTGAGACCTTCTTTGAAATGAAGTGTCAGGATTGCGGGACTCACCTGTTGGTAACAACACAATTACAGTTTTCCCTAGACTTGGGGGGAGTAGCTAAATTAATCTTTAAATTCTGTGCTGTCATATGGAACGTATACAACTCACCATTTAAACTGGGGTTTGTCCCAGTGCCAGCAGCTGTTTATAAATAGTTTTATAGGTAATGAAGCCCATTTTAGGATTCAACATATTAACTCTTAATTGTTTTGAAATAAAATTAGTGATGGGATTAGATTACCAGAATGTAACAGTACAGAAGTCAAATATAGCCCTCTACCAAAATACAGGCCTAATGTCTTTTGAAAAGAAACATAGTCTTAAAATACCTTATTTTCAATTCATTATATAAATCGGTATTAAAATTATGTTAATGTATTGATCAGAATACAAATGCAAATATATGAAGCCCGTGTGATTCAAGAGCGTGATGTATTTATACAGGTGCCAGTTGGATCTTATTGTAGACCTTTAACATGAGTCTCTTATTTTCCTTTTAAATTTTGAGATTGTTTATATGTACTATGTAGAAAAGTTGAAGCCATTCTAAGAAAATTTCCCATTCTTTGACTTGTCTTTACTTAATGCAGTGCACGGACTGAGAATTTAAGTATTTTTATTACGTAAATTTTGTGAGGTTTTTAATTTCTTTAGAAACTGACAAAATAAAAATGGGAGGACATATCTCTGGATGTTAGAAAAATTTTGACAGGAAATCAGAGGAGAACTAGATATTAGAGCAGAGTAGAAAAGACAGATTTTTTTCCTAATACGGAATCCAGGTGAACCAAGATTGATTTGATTAATAGTACTAATGATAAAATTGTGGTACATTAAGAACTCAGTCCAGTAGAAACACACAGTATTAATTTCAGTCTGTAAGTTTGAGCATACAGGCTATACATATATTTGTGTTGGTAGAATACCATGCTTTATACTCAGACACAGAAGGTGATACATTCTGAACTGTTTTATTTGTAAATAAGTATTTTTAAACACACACAAATGGCTACTCAAAGCTATGTAGATTCTGCAAATAAATTAGTAGGACAAAGCAATCTTTTTCCATAATTGCCTTTCCCAAAAGCCAGTTAAGCACATATGTATAGTTCCCATTTACATATCCAACTAGCTACATGGGTTTTCTTGAGACGTTGTTGAAAGTACACTTTGGTTGAGGCCAAATATTACAAGTTTGCACTTAAAAGAATATGTCTGTTTAAAACGGTGAGCACAAAGTAAGATATAGAAAGGATGCCCAGCCCAGCCTGCACAACAGGGTTGCTACCATGTTGTTAGAATAATTACATTTTGGCTGAACTAACTAATTTAGAAAAACTGCAGTACATCTAGCAAGACTGAAAACTTTCCAGGACTGGGTTGGGTTGGGTTTTTTTTATTATTTTTTAGTGTAATTTAAAACAATACCTCTTCTGGCTGCCAACAAACTCTTTCCCTGAATCTCCCCGTTCCTGGCTTCCCTCCTAACCATGTCCTGGCTCACCTCCAGAGCTGCCAAGTTTATGCCAGAAGCAGGAGGTAGATTTGTATGGGGCTGGAGGAAGATCTGGAGCTCTGTTAAATTTTCAAGCCCAGATGGGGCAACATGATTTGTGTGTTTATGTCAGTATGCCATACATCACAACTATCTGTGTGCTGACGTCAGCTTTGATTGGACATTAATGTGCTGAACACTGCAAACTAGAAAATACGTGATAGATACAGATCTATGGCAACAATGCCACATAAGCAAATGTCTCTTTGGTGTGGCGATTCACTGTGCAAAATATTTCCCAAGATACACTGCATTAAGCCAGGAGAATATTTTGACGCACTTTAAAAGCAAAAACAAAATCAACATGAGCAAACAGACGACAATTTAAGAAAGCAAACCTGGTCAGAAGAAGAGCTGAAACCAAGGTATTGAAGTATGTATCATTAGGCAAATATTGAATTGCTATCCTTCACTTTAGTCTTTCCAGAATTAAGACCAAACAAGAAAGATGCTATTCTTATGATTTGCAGGACTGTTAATGGTGAGGATACCTTGCTGATGGTTGAGCCTCTTTCTGTCCACAGTTTTTGTAACCCATTGTTATCAAAGCCAGCGAGCAAAAACATTAATGGGCAGCAAACGTTGTTTCAACGTGTTTCCTAGAAGAGAAAATAATTTGCAAGTCAGCTTTACTATTTCAGGAGCGGATATAATAACAAAGTTTAGGGATTGGTGTGTAGGCAGTGTTCTTCTACCTCAGATCACTTACATTATTCCTCAGAAAGGAAATTCTTTAGTATAACACTATTTTATCATTATCATTAGACTTTGTAGGTAAAATCGAAGTTCCCTGATTCCATGGGGATAGATCATTTTGGCCTGCGCACAAGTAGCGGCTTTGAAAAGAGACCAGTCCCCAGGATTTAATGCCATCTGGCCCATAAGGTGGGGAAGGGAGGGGGTGTAAAGGTACCATGGGATCGGTGGATTTAGGCCTTGGAACCTGAGCAGCTTGGGCTGTGCAGGAGGGGCCACAAGTTACTTTATATAGCGGTCAAAAAACAGAATTCAGATTATTCTTTGATAGGAGTAGGAAATGTTCACCTCTCACATCTGCTTCATGGGCTTCACTGTTGTTGAAATGGGGGTTCATGAAAGCAAGTGGTGTATCAATCACCATTTTAATAAAACTGTATGTCAGTGACTTTTCTAGCGTATCTAGGGATGCTTCCCTTCTCTCTGCTTCTAATTACTTTGTAAATTGTTATTATGAAATAGTTTACCAGCATTTAAATTGACCTTTCATAATAAGCGTCGGTCAAATAGTTTATGAAAGAAGCTTTAAGCTTTAAAATTAATAAAAAATACAAAACTATAACTTGTAGCTAGAGAGCTAATTCTTCATACTTGGAGTGGGTATTTTGAGGTGATTGGTCTTGATAACCCTGAAGGGTATAGCACTACAGCCATCAAGAGCAAGAGTATACCAGCTGTCCAGGCAACTTTAAGATAACTACTTCTTATCGTAAAGAAATATTTTGCTTTTTAGCACAGATTTGTCTCTTTTTCTTTCTCATTAAATACTGGCATCATCAAAGTACTCAAGAACATTTTATCCTGAGTTACCTCTGAAGATCTCTGTTGTGACCTTTGAATGTTGCTTTCTGCTATATAAAATGAAGTAAAGAAAACTATGCAGAAAATGGCTTATTTGAGGCATATGATAGAGTATGTTGTTGCACAAGACATAAGGCATCAGTTATAAATCACAAACATATTGAGAAATGGTAATGCAACTTGAAGCTTTAGATTCATATGTTGTGTAGAGAGGAACTTTTAGGAAGAAAAGTACTGGAGAAAATGCTTTGGTTTTCCATGTTGTTTGACTGATGGCCAAAATGAATAATCATGTGAGTTGTACTTGCTCAAAATATTAGTGGTAAGTGTATTAGAAAACAAGGTTTTGAGAACGCAAACACAAGCTGGGCATAGTAGAAATCAATGAGAGGTGCTTAACTGCCACATAGCTTGTAAATGTCTGAGCAAATGCCTATGTTATGAAGATTTAGGAAAATATGAATGTAATGCTGAGTTAGCTCTTTTATGGTTTCTGCTTGTCAAATGTGTGTTTCCTTTAGAGAGTAATTTCAAGTCTTTTTCCTTTTTTTTTTAAGTAAAAAAGCCCTCTAACGTAATTTCTAAGTATCGATGACCCATTTTTTCCCCACAGTTTGTCATTGAGAAGACCAAGGCTTACTCTATGAACATTAATTACCTTTTTCATCACATAGGATGTGTATTTTGTTTCCGTGTCTTACAGAATAAAGCAATTATGGAACGTGTAACAAACTTGTCAGATACGGTAGTTGGTCTTGAATCATTTATTGGCTCTGAGAGAGAAACCAATCCATTATACAAGGATTACCACGGTAAGTTCCATCTTTAGCAATGCAAAAAGTCTGCCCTGAGTGTTTCTAGGGCACTTAGCGGCTTACCCTCCAATTGGGTATCTGCTATAAAGTACCGTTTGATTTCATTTCAGAATATACCTCTTAAATGTTTCTCCTTGCTAACCAGTCTTGAGTTAGGAAAATTTGCAGTAAAGTGCATTAAGGCTGCAAAGGAAACATGGCAACTCCTTGCATGTTGTCAAGGCGTATTACCGAGGCATGGCTCAATCAGATGTACATCTCAACAGGCAGGCTCTGGGGAATTCACATGCAGAGGGGGCTTGGCAATCATCTGACCAGCGAGCTGAACTTGTCATGAAATCAATACTTTTGATCTGCCAAGTTTTAAATAGAGAACACGGACTAACATATATTAAGGTGAATAAACTGCTAAATGACCTGCTATATAAACTTCATCTCAGAAATAACGTCCTATTTTTCAGCTTTAAGTTACAGCACTTAGGCATTTAAAGAAATGAATGTGGATATGTGTGGCATGTAAAATATGAAACTGATTTTGTTAAAAAGTCATTAAGCCTTTCAAGTGATTTATGTTCAAAATGCGTAATGGTGTTTAATCTTGCATTTTGTTTCCCAAAGACTTTGTTAGCTGTTGCAGCAGAATTATTTGAATTTTAAAATATTAGAAGTTATGCATAGCCAAAGCAGTGAAGAGCAAATAGTTTTAGCTAATCCAGAGCGGTGCTCTGAGTGTGCATAAATTACAGCTATTATTATTGTGATACTACTGTAGTTCCATGGAAACCTTTAGTTGAAAGTAAACTGCTTATCCGAAACCTGCTGTAAACATGGGAGAGCGTGGCAGTGTTTTCCATAGCAGAAGATACAGAAAAAGAAGCAAAGATGGTGTTGAGACACCACTGTGTGTATGCAGGCTGTAATTAATAAATCAGAGAAAAATCCTCCTGACTATGAAAATGGTGCACATTTCATTAGCTGAAAAAAGGTGAATGAAAAAGAAACCGTGAACAAAAGCTAGAATAATTTGCCTAATTATTTTTCCAGCTGTATAATCGGGATGTGGCATTTGTTTATGCTAACATAATTCTGTCAATTTGATACTCCTTTTCTCAGTACTGAAGAGATCCTTTAAGACAATGTGTGTTTGAGCGGTTATTTCCTGGTTTCCTGTAAAAATGTACGCTAAATCATTTTTGGTACTACTTAATAAAAATTATATGCCAATATGCATAGCTTTTGAGATTTAGGCAGCCTTAGTTTAACATTCTAAAAACAGGTATTTTTAACGGTTTTAACTGTGTAGATTCTTTTTGCTGAAGAATATGTTTTAAGATGATTTATTTACTGCAGATGATGGAAGATTTTGACATTACTGAGGAGAAGTTTGATTAAATTATTGCATTATTTAATGAATCCTGCATTAATAATTTTATTAAGCTGCCTGCAAATTTAAATGGTTGAAAAGTCAGTAAAATAACAAAAGAATTATATAGATGATACTTAAATAAAAATTTTTAGAATGCTGTATGTAAGCAACCCTGTGTTATACCTGCTGTTCCTATCTACACTAATTCTATTTTGAACTCAAAAGCCAAACAAATAATTCTTAAATGTCACCAGACTGGAAGAAGGGATAGAAGGTTTCAAAGTGTGAAAATATTTTTCTAATACCGTTGAGAATTTTTGTAATTAGTACCCATAAACATCACGCTTTTTAAAGTACTTCAGTTTTAGGAAACTGTATTCCCTTATTCTTCCTTTTAAAAAATAAATAAACCCCTGAAAAAATACTTGCCTTATTTTAAATTAGGGTTTTAGTGTTTAAGGTTTTTCTCACAGCTGCCGTTTTCAAGTAGGATGTCTTTTCTAAATGTTCTGTATTTCCATTTAGATGCTGGCTTTGTGAATAGCAAATATAGGCCAGTAATTGAGAAGCCCTGTAGAATTTTCCTGGTTTTCAGATGGAGAAAATCACCCTTAGGTTGTTCAGAGACTATATTAGGCTGCACAAAAACCATCCAGCGTCCTTGTCAGAAAAAATCAGCTTGAGTTGCAGCTGACAGAATGCAGAGCTTGCAGTACACCTAGTACTGTTAAAGACATCTGAACGGCTATATGAGCCTCCTGCGTGAAGAAAACGAATTTCTCCTCGGAAGGCATAGGGGTTAACATTTCTCGAGAAGCGTGGTTTCAATCGGTGTTTTCCGGAAACTTTTCAAAAGTCATTTTCAGGGCGCAAAACGCAGTACTTCTCATTAGAGCTTCAGTGGTTATCAGTAACCCATGAGCCTTGTTTTGCTGGCTGCTTACTGGTGCATTTAATAAAATAAAGATCACTCAGTGGTGCCGTGGGCAGCATGCAAGGTGATAGCCATATTTGCTTACTGTAAATACAAGAGAAAATCACACACAAACCGGCTGTAGTTTTGACAAGTATTAAGATCCCTCTTTACATCTGTACTTCTGTACCAAAGTGCAATTAGTTTTCCTCGCACAAGGATTTCTGTTTATCTTATTCTGCTTGATTACTTGAGTATAATCGCACCGTTTGCTTCATTGCTCCTGGTAGTAAGCTCCAGTTTAAAAAGGGGAGGATGAGTGTGTGTAAATATACAGAATTCTGCTGTAAGACTCTAATTTATGCATCTGGATGACAGCGTTTTCTTAATTTTTTTCTCTCCTTTACTCTTCCTTTCCACAAGGTTTGGTTCATGTACATCAGATTCCTCGGCTTAATAGCTTGATCTGTGATGTGTCAGACACGAAGGACCTTGCTTTTAGATTAAAAAGGAAGCTGTTCACCATTGAGGTAAGAGAAACAGTTTTGTTTCACTATTTAGAACCCAAAAGGTGGAGCTAATCCCATCTCTTCTGTTTCGTTTTGTGCAATACATAAAATATGCATCAGATGTTGTAAATTCATTTCATTCTGGTTTCGCTGTTCGGAACGGCTTTATAAAATATTGTAATATGCCTTCTAATTAAAAATGTCTCGTTTGCGGCACTAAATCGGTCCGTTATAAATAGTTTATTTTGGTTTAAAATGTACATAGAAAGTAGGCCACAACCTTCAATAACAAAGCGTGACATGTTTCTAAGGATGTCAGGAGCATATTTAATTAAATGTTAATGACTTGCTCTTACTTGTGTTAGTGGGTGGGAAAGTAGCTACATGTTATTACCCCAGTAGAAGGATTTTAATGTATAATGCTGCCTAAAATTGTGTGTGGTATGAGGGATAAGTGTCCTTATCAGTATTCAGAAACCATTTTCTTTGCATTACTGAAATCACCTTTCGCTCTTTTATGTCATTTTAAACACAGTATCATTTACACTAATGTCCTTAAGTAAATTTCCTACTAAATTTAAACTTTTTTCCGTGACCTTTATGCAGACAGTCCTGATAGAAGGCAGTAATACAAAAGATGTATTTCATTTTAATCTTGCTAAAGAGCAAATGAACATAGCACTATTAAGCAATTAGAGCTGATGTATTTATTAACCAAGTAATGCTTAGAGATGGAAGATGGCTTTCGGGGGGATGCGATAGTCATCGGTACAGTCTGGGCAAATTTTTTTTTTTTAAACAAAGACATAAAACAGCCAAGCATCCCTGACAAACCATTTTGTTTAATCTCTTTTCAAATGAAAAGCTCTTAAGCAGGCCACTTGTCTTAACTGCTTGAAACCATAAAAAGAGAGAATTGCCACCAATAAATTAGCATATTTTTTACTCCATCACCAAATGATGGTCAATGTGGCTTGGCACTGCTTTGGTGTTTGGGACTTCACCCTTAAGTGACCACTTTGGCCCTTATTTGACCCTCTGCCCTTTTTAGCTGGCCACTTGATAAGGTAACTTAAGGGTTCTCTCTCTTCACTGCCCCCTCCCCTTCACAATTGCAAGTAGCCCTAACCTATAAATCATTGAAAGGGCCCTATCAAGTGACAAATTAAGGTGCCCTCCTCCTAATTAATGGTCATCAATGTCTTTAATTATCTAATCCTATTGAGAGTAGTTAATAGTTAATCGGGCAGCCAGTTCTTCCTGCAGGTCATCTCTGCATGAGTGCTAGAAGTTTCTCAACTAGAGGTATCCTCTTCAGAAGCCACTTAAAGGCAAAGATGCGGAGGAGGGCTTTTTTCCCCAAGACGTTCTTTTATAATGTTTCTCACTTTCCAGAGAACGCGGTTAGTGAAACCAGGCGGTGTGAGGTATGAAACCATTTTAACAACTGCTTTTGAGCAGTGCGTTAGAAACAAAAACCTGAATAGTCTGGGTTTGGTTTTAAAATACATATGTTCTTACTGTTTTCGGAAGTGCAGAGAAGCATGCACCCTTATTTCACAGCACAGTAAATTTTCATTTGTTCTAGCTACGAATTAGAATATTTGAGGGTTTTTTCCTCACGATGAATCCTGACTCAGAATATAATTTTTTCTGTCAGAGGTATTTGGGATTCTAATTTGTAATGTAATTTGGAAGGAAAAAAAAAAAAAACCCTTAGCAGGAGGCTCTGTAAAAAGAATTGAATTGGCCATGGGGCAGAAGTGTTGGAAACAGGGGTGTAGTGGAACTCTTGAAACAACCTGTTGCCCTAGACATGCGCATATGACCCACTTGTGTAATTTCTCCCTTCATTGCTCAACTGCAGCCCCTTTTGAATAACTTCAGGTTTTGTTAGAGATATGCTTTCTATAAGCTGAACTGACACAAACTAGCCCTTTTTGAACATGTTAGATCACTGTCCTGCTGTGATCTTCCCGTACACATTTCACTAATCTATAATACCTATGTTTTTTAGCTCATACTATTAGGGGAGGCAGACTACAGCTAGGCTGACTAGAGCAATGAAGTCAATAAGAAAATGGGAGCAGGGGAAAATTGACTTAAGAAGGGATGCGAACACAGTCTTCGAAAATGGGTTTGTGCAATTAGAATGTGATGAGTCAGCAGTCAGGTTTGGTTCTGGGGTAAAAACATAAAGCAGCACAACAGTGTGCTTTATACAAAGTACAGTTAAGTTTATGACTTCTTTAGTATGTAGCTTAAATGTGAAATGAAAATATATTTTGAGTATGTTACAGTGTTTTGGAAAGCTTCTGCTTAGTTATATACACAATTTAGGGTAAAAATATTCACCCCTACTTGAAATGCCCCTTTAAAATCAAATTCCATGAGAAAAGTTAGAAATAGACAACCTATGATTTATAGCAAAATTTCTCCAAAAAGGGTTTTCATCACTGGACCGTTCTTTTTTTACAGTTTAAAATAAGAGCATGGGATGTGGATTTTCTCATCTCTGGATTGCTCACCAGTTAAATAACTCTTTATGGTTTGGCCTTCATCAGTAAAAAACCTTAAATGTCAGATCCGTTTTATTAGATTGCAGTTTTGTGGGAGGGACTCCGCCTCTTTATAGTCTGCACAATCATTTAACTGTTTCAGTTTTTCTTGCATCTTTTTCATCAAAATGAGCTTGACTGAAATGCATTCTAAAGGGATTTTTTTTTAATTCAGGATGAAAATGGTTTTTTATGAATATTTATGAGTATTCATTTTCTATTTGTAAATTATGAGGTAGACCGTTTCCAGGAAAACTTACATGTTGACGGTAAAAGGTGCAGTAGCTATATCAAGCTTTCCCAAATCTTCACACGTTGGTTACTCACGATATATTATTACATGCAATATTATCAGAGATCTATCTTATGTGCATACCACTTTAAAGGACACAATTTTGAAGTTAGCCTGTCTAATCCTATTTCTTCCCACTTTGGAATCTTAATTAGAAGGAGATAAAAACCATCATTTGACTAAATTATTGTCTTGAATCTGTAGCAAAAGGTATAATCCGCAATTGGGCCAATTAGTGTACCCCATAGTTAGCTATGCTGAGGCAGGAAACTTGATTAGATCTGACACCAGCCTAGTTCCCACTGTTGTTTTGCCAGGTATGATGGTCAGACTTCAAAGGGCTTGAGGCATCAGCAGGGCAAGGTTTGGAGGCCAGCTTAGGTCCGGTCGTTAATCTCTCTGCTAAAACCACAGCAGCCCTCGCACAAAACAAGCTTACACGACACAATCATGCGGTATTAAAGTTTGGGTTGAGTCATGCCAATTTGCCTTTGATTTTCTGATGATTGACTAAAAGATGGCTACATGACTAGACACATACTGAAAGTTTACTGATTAGGTAAGTTCCCCAAATATTTGAAATATTTTTTGATTTCTCAGTTAAATGATATGACAACCCGTTCATCTTAATGAAACTTTTCAGCAGAACTGTTCTTATAGTGCTTTTTGCTTTGTTTGTAGCTCTGAATGTAACTTTTATCAACATTTGATAAATTTGTGGGAATATTATGTTCATAGTTTTATTTGATAGAACTTTATCTTTGTTGTGCCAAAGCCTCCCATATCAAAACTAAAGGAATCTGTGCCTAAATTTGATATTTTCACTCCTCGACATTTCTAAGGAAACATCGTTTGTCTTTGTTGCTTAGGTACATTTACAATTACTCGTAAAAAGGGAATTTCCTCTTAATTATTTTCCATCTCACCATTGAGTAAAGCACTGTTCCATGGCTGCGATTACATAAGTGTTCCTTTCTTTTGCAGTCTGATTTGTTGAAATATTGCAGTAACAGTGACATGTTTCCATTCTGAGAAAAGCCTAAGGCTGCTTTAGTATTATTCCAAATGATTGAAATTGCCATCTTGCTGACTTTCCCTTGGGCAGCTTAAGGCCTGTTTACTTTTGTATTTGTTTCACATGTTCCCTCTGAGTTTGGCTGGCAGGACATCATTACCTGGTTTGACAAGACAGTTGGAGAAGATTCATATTTGATTAACTCCCTTTGTTACTGTCTGGTCAACATAAACCTCTGAAATTATGTATTTAAAGTTAAAACTTTTGATAAGTTCAGATAAATGTTTGCAAATAGGAAAGTTTGTGAGTTGGTTTGTTTGATTCCCTAGATTTGCTTTACAGCTGATATTTTAAATCTTCAGGTAACAGGCAATTGTTAGTAGTGTAGAGAATAAGCTTTCTCCTACAAGTTGTATAATATAGTTTGTCTCATAAATAGTTGTGATTTTTTTTTTATTTTGATTAATGCACAAGTAAGAGCGAGCTAATATGATTTTCTTTTTAATGGCTATATAACACCTGTGCAAACCAGAATAAAAATCTTTAAAAGACAGCTCAGTTTGAAGCCAAGTGTCACATAATATATAAAGAATTGCCACACAGCAAAAATAAGTAAGTTTCCAGACCTTAATGTGTGAGTTCGGGAGATTCTTTTCTGAGAGGTGTTTCCTAAGAGGAGGAGAAGAAAGTCAGAATTAGAGGAGTCCTGTGGCAGGAAAGTTGCTGGTTTGACAGTGGCAGGCAGACACAACGTGGTACTATGGAACACTCTGCAGTGCATTTTTCCCAGTGGTAACTGCCAGAGTAAAAGGTTATGTCTTTGGAAAGAAACATAATCACAAAACCCAGCAACTGAGTCTATATAGAATTAGAAATAAATGTGTGATTCCAGAGGCATTAAAATAATGTCCTTTCTTCATCTATCAATAAAGGACTAAAAGAAAATTAATGATTGCCAAAATAAGCAAGATTTAATTGCAACTCCAGATATTTGTGTGTATGTTATGTGTCCAGCATTGGTATTTGGAAGAAGACTTAAAACTCTTTTCTTTTAACATGGTGAATTTGGCAATTAAAACCAGGAAATACGTCTTAGGTGCTTCCATCTGAAATCTCTGTATTTCTGCTTTTTTTTTTTTCACTCTATCCCTTTTCA